AGCCATGGCTGCTGAGCCTGCGTGTCCGGAGCCTGTGCTCTGCAACGGAAGGGGCCACAACAGTGGGAGGGCCCCGCACCACAAAAAAAAAAAAAAAAAAAAAAAAAAAAAAAAAAAGATTCACAGAAACAGAAAACCTCAAGCAACTCCAGTCAGACGATGATGGAGAATCCAGCTATAAATATGGAAGCAATTAAAATACAATGAAATGACTTGGTAAGGGAGTAAAGTGCTTGGTAAAACGAATAGCTTTTAAATAAGAGTGCAGAGACATAACATGCCTCAGTTTGAGAGAACACTTGATATTGTAAGGATACCACTTTCCCCCCCAAAATCATTTATACGTTGAAGACAGTGGCTATTGATATTCCTGTGGGATTAAAAAAAAATAGTTGCAAATGATTTTACAATTCTTTGGAAAGGACTGTTGGGCCAAAACAGCCCAGAAAAGTTTGAGATGCAAAAATTATTCACTAAACATGTTACTGCTTGTTTTACAAAGTTATCATTAATATAACAGATATGAGATGGTGTCATGAAGTTAAGACACATGGAAAGTAAATATAGATTAAGAGGACAGACTGGAAAGGTTAGAATCAGGTTGGAACACCTGTGTGTGTACAAGTGTGTGTGTGTGTGTGTGTGTGTGTGTGTGTGTGTGTGATGATAAAAGTTGCACCTCACCTCATGGGGCCGGGGGACGGGAAAGCCATAGCCATAGCCTAGACCACAGAATTCCCTTCTGATCACCACAGGATGGTCGACAGTGAAAGGACATTGCCGGCATCAGAAGAAAAATACTGCCAAGAAGGAAATAAAGGAGCTCGTGCGGACATGCAAAAGCCACAAAGCAGCAGAAAATGCGAACGGAGGCCAAGACATGACTCCTTCAGGCAGGCTACTCACTGTTCCGTTGGTGCCACCGGGCTGCGTGCAGGAAGCTCTCGCAGTAATGCATCAGGAACTCGTGCTCCGAGTGCTGGGCTGTCCCCAGGAGCAAGGGCAGAAGGTCCCGGCCGTCAATGACCCTACAGGCAGGAGCACAGGGACTCAGGGCGGGGCTGCTGGAAGGTGGGCGTGGCCTTAACAAGCCCAGGGCAGCCCCGGGGCAGTCAGCACCCCATCCGCCTGCACACAGCGCCTCGGCTAAAAGATGTTGGAGGGTCCAGCTTGCTCGGCTGAAGTAATGGTCCACCCAGCCTTATTCTGAAGGGACAAACAGCTGAACAAAATGGAAACACCTGCTTGGTTCTATATGGATTTGAGCTTTAAGTCGTTATAGAACATGCGGCATTCTTCAAAAAGACCTGGAATCATTTCATAAATATATATAATAAAAGAAATATATATGCATATATAGTGTATATATGCAATATACATCATTATATAAAAATACATGCATTATATACACAATATATATCATTATATACAAATAGACATATATACACTATATATGCAATATATAATATATACACAATATGTATTATGTATTCAATATATACACTATATATTATATATACTGTATATACAATATATGTACACATACCACATACATATATCATAGATATGTGATATATATACTCACCATATATACATAAAATATATGCATACCGCATAGATACATCATACATATATCACATATATATATACACCATGTATATACACAATATATATCATTTCATTTCCAAACGTGTATTCATATACACATACACACATATGTTTACATATGTGTGTATAAATATATATAAATGTATATATAAATAAAACCAAGCAACAATATATGGCTGAATTTTATCTTCTAGCAAAATACATTTGTGATATACATGAGGGACAAATTTTTATTTTTAAAACAAATGAGATATTATAAATTAGTGTTAAAAATTAGCAGCCAATTAGGAGAAAAAAATGTCAACCAGAGACATGATATTCAATGTAAGAAAAAAGAGGAGACTGTAATATTCAACATCTCTGCTGATAAAGCAATGGAAACGATACCACACATGTATGTATATGTGCATATACACATACTCTATGTGTCGTTTATATATATAATAAATAAATTACATGTATAAATTAAATTGATTTTACTTCTGTTATTTTACAAATAGATACTCTCACCTATGGCCAGTAGCAATTCCTAGGGAACAATTTGACAAAATGTATCCAGAGATTTAGTAAATGGCCATATACACTTTGACCCAGGAATTCAACTTCCAGGGATTTTTAAGAAGATAATTATGACAGGCAGTAAAATGACAAAGCCAGATTTTTTTTTTTCAAAAAAGAACACGGCTAATGTCCATCTGTAAGAGGTTAATTGAAAGAATAGTGTAAAGCCATTAAAATTTTTGTCCATGCATAAAGTGTTTAAATGTAGATAGATATGTACGTATATATCTCTATATATGTACTGACATATTTTACACAAATATATAAAATATATATATAAAATATATCTAAATATATATAGTATATAGGTATCATATAACTTAATTATGTATTCATCTCTACGTTGTCAAGTTTACGAAATAATTTTATTTTCTTTCTATTCCTCCCAAATTTTCTATAATTTTTAAAGGAAGAAAAACTGGAATCGGGCTTCCCTGGTGGTGCAGTGGTTAAGAATCCACCTGCCAGTGCAGGGACCACGGGTTCGAGCCCTGGTCCAGGAAGATCCCACATGCCGCGGAGCAACTGAGTCCACGAGCCACACCTACTGAGCCTGCGAGCCACAACTGCTGAGCCCGCGTGCCTAGGGCCCGTGCTCCGCAACAAGAGAAGCCACCGCAATGAGAAGCCCGCGCACCGCAATGAAGAGTAGCCCCCGCTCGCCACAACTAGAGAAAGCCCGCGTGCAGCAACGAAGACCCAACACAGCCAAAAATAAATAAATAAAATAATAAATAAAATAATTTAAAAAACAGGGATCATGAAAAGTCCCTACCACACTACATCAAAAGGAATCTCTTGTGATGAATCGTTAGTAAATTCACTGATGCATTTCAGTGACAATCGTCCTTATAATCAAATGGCCCCACTTAAGACTGAGAAGGGAAGGACATTTTGTGCATAAAATGAAGCAGACGTTGGATCCCAGCAGAGAATGATGAGCGTTTTTCCAGATACTGATCTCACGGATGTTTTATGCCAAACAAAAGCGACAGTGATGGTTAACATACATGTTGGCTCTACACAAAGCGCAACTGCCTTCTTTGGGCTGCTCTGTACCTGTCATGGGGCACCTGGCCACCCCCCAGCTGGACCACGGTGGGGAAGACATCCATCAGGCTGGTGGGCTCGTGGATCAGGCGGCCAGCGGGCAGCACCCCGGGCCACCGGAGTATCCCTGGGACCCGGATCCCACCTTCCCAGCCGCCCATGCCTTTGCCACCTGTGTTTAAACATGAACAGGAAAGAATGTGATTGAAAATCCAAAGTGGTTGCTTACCTGGGTGATTTAACCTTTCCATTTGTTTTAAATCTCTCTTTCTCTCCCTCCCTCTTTAATTACATGATGACATTCAGTTCCTCCCTGGCAAAGCATAGATTTCGTTTTACTTATTAATCTGGGTGTTCGTTTTCCACCACACGGGGGTCAGGACATGGATATCTTTGGGGACATTATTCTGTTGACCACAACAATCATTTGGGTTCCTTTGGTTTTTGTGACTTTGCTTTGTAAACTCCCATTCCGGAGAAAGGGTTGGGAATTATTGGGAAGAGATGAAGACAGTACATATGGATCTGGGAATGTCTCACCCTTACCTTTATATATCCCATTCCAGCCACCATATTGATTGTTTCCAAACTGAGCCTCTAAGGATCCCCCATGATCCGACGTAAAATAAACGAGGGTACTATTAGTCAAACCTTCCGTGTCCAAAGTATCAAGGATCTGCCCTGCAAAGAATAGATGCGTTTGTGCCAGTCAAAATAGAAGAAACTCTTACACCAAATTTCTGGAACGCTTCATTAAAATGAGTCTTCAGTGTTAAAGCATAATGGGAGTCAGCAGTAATGTAATTGTGCTATTCTTCATCCAGCCTTGAGAAAGGAGGAAATCCTGCCATGTGCAGCAACATACATGGACCGTGAGGGCATTATGCTCAGTGCAATATGTCAGACAGAGAAAGACAAATACCGTGTGATCTCACTTATATGTGGGATCCAAAAAGCTACACCTACAGAAAGAGAAAACAGATTAGTGGCTACTGCAGGTAAGGGTGAGGGGTGGGAAAAAATGGGTGAAGGTGGTTGGTTAAAAGTTACAGATTTAAAAACACGAGTGTATTTCTTTGGTGTTTGGGTGTTGCTTTTTTATACAGTCTGACCAGGTTTTTTTTTTTTTGTTTTTGCGGTACGCGGGCCTCTCACTGTTGTGGCCTCTCCCGTTGCGGAGCACAGGCTCCGACGTGCAGGCTCAGCGGCCACGGCTCACGGGCCCAGCCGCTCCGCGGCATGTGGGATCTTCCCGGACCGGGGCACGAACCCGCGTCCCCTGCATCGGCAGGCGGACTCTCAACCACTGCGCCGCCAGGGAAGCCCTGGTCTTCTCATTCTTTACATCCTTCCCTCCTGCAGTTTCTGGACGAGGAGCCATCACTTTCTCACCTGGAAAAGGTACCTACCCACCATCCAATCCATCTCTTCTGTGTTGTCCCCGTACAGCCCATGGGGACTCCTCCCTCGGAAGTTCTCGGTAGTGATGAGAGGGGTGTGGACATGTAGAAAGGACACGAAGAGGAGGAAGGGTCCTTGCTTGTTTCTGAAAGTAGATACAATGTGATGGGTGTTATTTTTTGGTCAACCTGAGATTGAGCTGCCACAGAAGCTAAATACAAATCTCCATTGTCACGTCCTTACTCAGATACATGACTTTGCTGCTCTACCCACCAGCGGCAAATGCGTAGATCTGTTCCACGGTGCGATGTTCCTGTGTCTGAGAATCTTCGGTGTGATGACTTTCTTCCTTCTAAAGTCTTTTGAAAAGTCCGCATGAATTTTTTTAATTTTTTGGCCGTGCCACGGCATGTGGGATCTCAGCTTCCTGACCAGGTATCAAACCCGTGCCCCCTGCAGTGGAAGCGCAGAGTCCTAACCACTGGACCACCAGGGAAGTCCCTCCACACCGATTTTATACGTCTTTTTCTTCCTGATTATCGTTTTCTAACTCTATGGACTTCGGATGACTGAAAGTAAAATAGAATACCAGGATGCCATCTGGTCTGACTTTTATTTTATTGTTATTTCAGTATATTTTTTGATTTCCAACTTAGCTGAAAGAATAAGTGATTTGCACATTCAGTTTTCTTTACAACTGCTCTTATGCAATGAAGTTTAGGATGTGGAATAGTCATGAAAAATCCCACTTTCAAAACGATGTGTATGGGGTTATTAATCTCAGGTTGATTCTCCCCAATCTAGACAATTCCTCACCTTCCCCTGTCTTCACCTGATCTTTATGCTCTAATCTACACCCTTAAAGGGCAGAAGCAAAGGTGAGAAGCTCTTAGACTTAATAAGGACACATCAGGTTAGTTTGTTTTAATTTGAAAGCAAAGTATTCGCTTCACACCTGACCCATATTTGGCAATTCCGTCAAGAACTCTCTAAGAATATTCCAGAACATGATCACCACCCAGGTAAGTTGGGGTTCCATGGAGTCACCCACTTTACTGGAACCCCTTTGGGGAGCACGAAGTGGCCTCTGTTTGGTGCAGCTTTTCATTGTGTCCCTCCTGGTCTGGCCTGGTAAGTCTCTTTGTCACTGTCACTCACATTTACATCCAGGCTGAAGTTAGCCACAGGACCACTTGGTCCTGATGGTAGAGCTTTAAAAATACTTAGAATTTATTGCAAAACCTACAGGTGATTCAGTTTCTTATGTTCACTAAATACCACCCCTGTGGTAACCAGGGGTGCTCAAAGAATTGGACTGGCTCTGTTTTTTTTTTTTTTTTTTTTTTTTTTTTTTTTTTTTTTTTTTTTTTTTTTTTTTTTTTTTTTTTTTTTTTTTTTTTTTTTACCCATGCCACGTGGCTTGCAGACCAGGGATAGAACCCGTGCCCCCTGCAGTGCGAGCTCAGAGTCCTTACTACTGGACCCCCAGGGAATTCCCTGGTCTGGCTCTAAAATAAGAAGGAACAGCAGCAAATTTCAGCTGACTGGTCAATTGTTTCAATGGATCCAGCTGAGTTCCAGGGAACATCATTTATGCCCCATTTTACCAAAAACTGTCTTTCTGAGCTGGGACCGTTTCACCACGCCAGTACCCATTACAGAAGAAGCAGATTCCGAATTCATTTTCATCCTGAAGCCACCTCTGATACTCACCTTTTGACAAAGGATGAGACCTCCTTGAGCATAAGAGCCGTCGTCCTTTGAAGGCGCATAGGTTGCTCGGTGATGGAGTGATTTCGCATCAGAAAGCAGTCGGCGTGAACAATCAGGGCACCCATGAAATAGGAGGTTGTGAAGCATAACAGGGCCACGATGGCTGAGCAGATGACCAGAGCCCAGGAGCCCGCTACCAGGCGGGTGAGTTTCCCAACGGTGAGTGTAAAGGCGGCCAACGCCATGACATGCGAGCAGACGTTGAGTTTATGCTCCAAGCCTGCACGCTTTTCAGACATTTCCCAGGACTCACAGTCTCCCATCATGGAAAACGGCATTCCGTAGAAATGGTCAAAGCCATGGCTGAGCGGGTGGTGGCAGTAATCATCGGAGGATTCACAGTTGAGACCCAGATGCCATTTTCCTGAAAGGCAAGAAGTATGCACACGTGACAACGGTCCGATCATCCCTGCAGGAGTAGGGATGGTGTGCTTGCCAAGTTCTAGGCTCTCTGCTGGGTGGTGGGAGGAGGTGGGGATGTAGAGGAGGTGGGGGTAGTGTTTGCTGTTGTTTGTACCACAGCCTGGCCAGGTCACTTCAAGGGAATGAGGACCTTGTGTAGCATTGCCTGTGCTGCTGGAACAAAGTACCATAACTTGGTGGCTTGAAACAACAGGAATTTATGCTCTCACAGTTCTGGAGGGCAAGTCCAAAATCAAGTCAAGTGGGCAGGGCCGTGCTCCCTGCAGAGGCTCCAGGGGAGGGTCCTTCCCGCCTCTTCCAGCTTCTGGGGGCTCCAGGTGTCCCCGGGCTTGTGGCCACATCCCTCCCATCTCTGCCTCAGTGGTCTCACTATCTCCTCTTTGTAGTCAGATATGTGTCTGTCTCCCTCTTGAAAGGACCCTTGTCCTTGTATATAAGGAAACCTGGATAATCCAGGATCATCTCCTCATGTCAAGATCCTTCACTGAATCACATCTGCAAAGACCCTTTTTCCCTATGTAAGCTTATATTTGCAGGTTCCAGCATTTAGGACCCGCTATCTTTGGTGACCCTTATTCAGTCGACTCCCCCTGACTTTGCGACTGTCTATAGGAGAGCAATAATCAAGGCACACAGTGGTCACACGGCTCTAGAAAACTCCATCTGACGTGACCAGCGTGAGCAAAAGATTTCCTGACTTTAGAATTCCCCGTCCCTTTTGCTAGTTCATTATAATCACAGTCAGGGTGGTGGTGGGTGACAGGTTTCGCAGACCCCACCTGTCGTGTTCAGTCAGTGGAAGGCGATTAGCTCCCCCGCTGTCACTGCTGGAGTGTTGATACGCTCTGTGTACCTTCTCAGCAGCCCAATGGTGTCCGTCACCCAGAAAACCTCATGTGATTTCCCGAGCAATTGCCACGAATCTATCGGATTCTATATTCAAAGAGCTAAAGAGTTAGCTTTGCTCTTTCTGATCAACAAAGGAGACTGTTAGCAAAATGTATTTACTATAACACGATAATGATCGTGACTCCTTGGGCCCCTTTCAAGAAACCGCCGTCCCTAATTTTCATTCATTCTACACATGACGCAAGTGGTTTGTTGACGTATAGAAAGATAAGCCTGCTCTTTATGGAAGCAGAGAGGAAGGTTCTAAGCTGTGTAGTCACATGTCTAGGCAGGAAGTGGGGAAAAACAGCATGATGAAAATTTTTGGCAATTTGGTAAAATTGGAAGAAATGCTAATTTGTTTGTTTGTTTGTTTGTTTGTTTGCGGTACGCGGGCCTCTCACTGTTGTGGCCTCTCCCGTTGCGGAGCGCAGGCTCCGGACGCGCAGGCGCAGCGGCCATGGCTCACAGGCGGCACGTGGGATCCTCCCGGACCGGGGCGCGAACCCGCGTCCCCTGCATCGGCAGGCGGACTCCCAACCACTGTGCCACCAGGGAAGCCCCAAAATGCTGATGTTTTGAAAGATCATTAATGGATTTATTTTTGCTTTTACCATGACTTAGTATGATCAGATATCTCAGGAAATGATTGCTCATAAAACTCTTCATTGTATTGGGTAAAAAGTCAGAACCGGCATATAGTCAAAATCTTTCTACACCTGATCATCGTTTAAAATATCTCTGAGCTGCCTCATTCTTGTTGTTTGTCATCCAGTTTAGAATTCCATGTGGGTTGCAGTGGGGAGCTTGGAACTGGATTTTGCATTCTGTGGAAAACTTGTTACTGTCACACCTGTGATGCCACCAAAGCTGTCTTGTAGATGACTTGCAGTTGTATTTTTATTTTTAATTTTTACTTTATATTGGAGTACAGCTGATTAACTATGTGGCGTCAGTTGCAGGTGTACAGCAAAGTGACTCCGTTATCCATACACGTGTATCTCTTCTCCTACAAATGCTTTTCCCATTTAGGTTGTTACATAACATTGAGCAGAGTTCCCTGTGCTGTACAGTAGGTCCTTGTTGGTTGTCTATTTTAAATATAGCGATGTGTATATGTCAATCCCAACCTCCCAATCTATCCCTGCACCCCAAAACTTCTAATTTTTTAAATCATGGTGCCTCAGAAAATTGTATGAAATGCCAAATATGTCATTAAGCTGATATTTCTTGAGCATCCACTTTGCACGAAGCAATGGGAGTAGTAATATGATTCCAGCGTGTGTGGGCTTTCTGTCCAGTGAGAAATCCCACTGGGTCCCAACTATTTCATTTCCAAACTTCTTACTTGACTATAACCTCCCTATAAAAGTAATGTGCTCCAGGGAGATCAGCTCGGTGCTTTGTGACCACCTAGAGGGGTGGGATAGGGAGGGTGGGAGGGAGACGCAAGAGGGAGGGGATATGGGGATATAGGTATACGTGCAGCTGATTCACTTTGTTGTACAGCAGCAACTAACACACCATTGTAAAGCAATTATACTCTAATAAAGATGTGAAAAAAAAAAGTAATGTGCTTAACACTGAGAAAATGTCCATACCTATGAGTCCAGTGGCATAGCCTTTATCTTTCAATATTTTTGCAAAAGTTGTTTCATTTGGTGGAAGTCCTCCAGATACGCCCGTCCACTGAAGAACACGGTAACCATTACTGGACACCATACCTTTGATCAATCGTTTTCAAAGAAATGTTACAATCAGACGTCGATTTGTATCATCATTATTATCACTTTAACTTAGAACATTTGGTGGAAATCTCCATTATTCAAAATTCAGTTGAAAATTTACTTCCAACATGGGTTGGCCTTATGGGTTTTATTTTTGTCAGCAAAGGAAATGATTCATTAATCGAAAATGTTAGTGAGAAGACTTACGGTCCTGCTATGTCAAGGTTGTAAGCCGAAAGGGAATTAAATGAAAAGGAAAACAGAATTAAAAATCACTTTATGATTTCACCAAACTCTTGAGAGAATCCAGTACCTCTCAAACTGGTCTGCACATTGGAATCACGGGAGGGGTTTCCAAAACACCCTGACACCTGGTTATCAGATCACCCCAGAGATTGTGATATTAGTTGGTCTGGGGTGGAATTTGGAATGGTTAAAAGGTCCCCCCAAATGATTCTAATGTGCTGAAAAGGTAGGGAACCACGGATATAATTCATCCTGACCCTGAGAGATCCAGGACCTCTACCCAATCATTTAAAAATGTAGGTTCAATATTTTTGTAAAGCTCTGCAGTGTACAGTTGAGAACCAATGATTTAGAAGATGCTCTTTGCCTCCTAGACCTTTTTGATGACTACAGCTCAGTCTGATCAGAGACCATCCACTTGGTTCAAAGAGCGAATGAAGTTCTCAGTGATCATGCTTTGGGAATGTGGAGAATTCTGAGATTTTCCAAAACCTCAAGAATGCATCTGGTTCAATGAAGGCTAGTGAAAACCAAATAGTTCTTGGTCAGGACAAAGAAAGTTGGGGTGTTTCAGCTTATGTTGTCCAGGATTTATTCTTCCCTGAGCAGGTTGCAGAGAACTATATATAGGAGGGTCTCTGTGGGTCACTTTGATGGGTCAACTTGACCAGGCTACGGTCCCCAGTCATGCAAACACTAGTCCATGGGTCTAGGTGTTGCTGTGAAAGCCTTGTGTAGATTTGGTTAACATCTGCAATCAATCGGCTTCAACTAAAGGAGGTGACCCCCGTGCAGGTGGGTGGCCTCATCCAGTCCGTTGGAGGTCTCCAGGACAAAAGCTGAGGTTTCCAGACACAGAAGGGATTCTGCTTCAAGACTGCAACACCAGATCCCACCTGTGTCTCCAGCCTGCTGTCCTGCCCTGAGGATTCTGGACTTGCCAATCACACAGTCACACTAGCCAGTTCCTTAAAATAAATCTCTTTACAGAGTAAGAGACAGAAATGGTAGATCCTAAATAAATAGCTGATAGATTGATAGATAGATGATAGATGGATAGATAGATGATAGATAGATAGGTAGACAGATGATAGATAGATAGATGATAGATGATGGATATATAGATAGATGATAGATGGATAGATAGATGATAGATAGATAGGTAGATAGATGATAGATGGATAGATAGATGATAGATAGATAGGTAGACAGATGATAGATAGATGATAGATGGATGATAGATGGATGGATAGATAGATGATAGATGGATAGATAAATGAGGGATAGATAGATGATTGATAGACAATAGATAGGTAGATAGATAGATGATAGATGGATATAGAGAGAGATGATAGATGATAGATGGATGGATAGATGATAGATGGATAGATAAATGAGAGATAGATAGATGATAGAGAGATGATAGACAATAGATAGATAGGTAGATACATAGATGATAGATGATAGAAGATAGATAGATAGATAGATAGATAGATGATAGATGGTAGATAGATAGATGATAGGTAGATAGATAGATCTTGTTGGTTCTATTTCTCTGGAGAACTCTGACTGATATAGGGTCTGAAGTCTGTCCCTACTCCCAGGAGTCAGCTTCAGGGTCAAAGGGCACAAGGACATTATACAGACTTTCAAACTTTTAGTCTACTTTCTACCCAAATCCCCAGGGAGATAGAAGATTGGGAGAAAAAAAACAGAACAAAGCCAAAACAGACAAACAAAAAAACAAAAAAAACCCTCCAAACCCCTCTGAGAAACAAACAAAAAAAACCCCCAAACCGAAAAACCAAAAAGCCCCAAACCCCCCCAAAACAAACAAACAAAACAAAAAAGCCAAGAAAACAAAAACAAAGAAACAAAACAAACCAACCCCCCTCGGCAAAACAAAACTAAAACCAAAACCAAAACCAAAAACCAACCAAACAAAAACCCCAGAACTTTATAACAAGATCTGCATGACTTTTAATGCAAAAGAGGACGATTTTGGAGCCCCTGTGGTGGAACGGGAGGAATATTTTGTCGACGTATTTCCCTCTTTAAAATCATTCCGGGGTCTCAGATCTTTTACTTGGGGTCACAGAGAGCAAAAGAAATTCCTTTTCCTCGGGGCGGGCAGAGATTTGAAAACAATCTTCGGAGACCCCTATCTCTTTTCCTCCAGATCAAACATATTTGGTTACTTAAACTTTTGCACAACCAAAGTCATGATAATGCCTGTTAGGTCCCTTAATATCCCTCGGGGTAGATTATTATGTATGTTATATTAAGGGTTGAAAAGCTGTGCCCCCTGGGGCAAATGCTGCCTATCACCTGCTTGCATAACCCCTGCAGGTAGAGAAGGGTTTGTACGTTTTATTTAATGGTTGGGGAAAAAATAAGTAGTATGTTTCATAACATATGAAACCATATGAGATTTAAATTTCAGTGTTCATAAAGTTTTATCAGAACACAGCCACACTCATTTATGTATGTAAGGTCTATAGATGCTTTCAAGCTACAGCAGTAGAGTTGTGTAGCTGTATCACAGGCTATGTGGCCCACAAAGATGAAAGTATTTACTCTCTTGCCCTTTAGAGAAAAAGTTTGCCAACGCCTGCCTTATATGGTTATCCACATCACAGGAGACAATCAAATGCACCGGGTTCTACCAGTGTCACCTCATTATCTATAGCTCTTACTGACTCCAATCTGATGGTCAAAGGTATGGGGGACTTAGAGCATTCTCTTCTCACTGTACTGGAGAAACCATACATGATTAGTCAAAAAGAGCATGTTCCTGTCCACTGTGTGGTTAGACAGAAGGAAGGACAAACCTGTTCGGAGAGGGTATCTGCCTGTTAGGAAAGCAGCTCTGCTTGGTGTGCACACAGAAGCAGCAGCGATGTGCTGGGTGAGCATCACGCCATCCGCGGCAAGGCGGTCAATGTTCGGAGTCCTACAGACGGAGACGTGAACTGCTTTATTCTTTAGCAAACAAACACAGAGACTTTTTCCATAAGCATAGTGACATCCTACTTAATAGAAAACCTGCCAGTCACCAATTAACACCTGCATGCGTTCTTAGGAATGAACAAAAGACAACGGCTTTGCAGAGCTGTGGATGGACCTAGAGACTGTAATACAGAGTGAAGTAAGTCAGACAGAGAAAAACGAATACCGTGTAATCTCTTTTCTAGGTGGAATCTAGAAAAATGGTACAGATGAACTTCTTTGCAAAGCAGAAATAGAGACACAGATGTTGAGAACGAACATATGGATACTGGGCGGGGGGAAGCGGGGTGGGATGAATTAGGAGAATCGGATGGACATAGACACACTACTATATATAAAATAGGTAACTGATGAGAACCTACTGTATGGCACAGGGAACTCTACTCACTGCTCTGTGGTGACCTAAATGGGAAGGAAATCTGAAAAAGAGCGGCTGTATGTATACGTATAACTGATTCACTTTGTTATACTGCAGAAACTAACACAACATTGTAAAGCAACTATAGTCCAATAACAATCAATAATTTTTAAAAAGGCAGTGGAAAAACTTCAAATGTCTTCTGAAACATCAAAGAAATATCCACTGCATTATTATTTACCAAGTTCCCACAATACACTACTGGTGCTGAGGCAGATACGATAAAAGATCCAGAACTGAGAGTCCAGAGTGACTTCTCACTTAGGACACACAGTCTTCTTTCTTTTTACTTTTTATTTTATATTAGCGTGGAGTTGATGAGCCATGTTGCGTTAGTTTCAGGGGTACGGCACAGGGACTCAGCGATCCACAGACATGTATCTATGCTGTTTCAGGTTCTTTACCCATTTAGGTTGTTACAGAGTATTGAGCAGAGTCCCCTGGGCTCTATGGTAGGTCCTTGTTGGTTACGCATTTTAAGCACAGCTGTGTGGACACACTAATAACTGGAAGATGTGACTCCACGCTAGCGACACACTGGCGGTGGTACGTGAGGGTGGGATTCACATGCAGCTTCAGGGTAGTGCCTCTGCTGGTAGTCAAGGACACTGAGAAAGGGACCAAGCTGATGGGGTGGCTTTATCTTACGATAGGTGAACTGGCAAAGGCAGATGCTCATGTCATATCTTGGGTTGAGGACGAGAGGGACATGTCTGAAGCAGAGATTTTGATCCGGGAGCGTTGAAATCATGCATGAGTGGGTGGATCTGGCTTGCTGGATGGAGGTTGGAGAGTGAGGTAAACTTTTTTTCTTTGCGGTTCGCGGGCCTCTCACCGCTGTGGCCCCTCCCGCCGCGGAGCACAGGCTCTGGACGCGCAGGCTCAGCGGCCACGGCTCACGGGCCCAGCCGCTCCGCGGCACGTGGGATCCTCCCGGACCGGGGCACGAACCCGCGTCCCCTGCAAGGGCAGGCGGACTCCCAACCACTGTGCCACCAGGGAAGCCCCAATAAAATTTTTTTTAAATGAGATGATGCAGAATTTGTTTTCTTCTGACTAATCTCACTTAGCATAATGCCCCAAGGTCCGTCCATCTTGTCCCAAATGGTAGGGTTTCCTTTGATTTTAAGGCTGACTGATGTTCCCTTGTATGTATACAAACCCTTTTCTTGGTCCATTCATCCTTGGATGGGCACTTGGGTGGTTCCCATATTGCCTTGGGCTTTAAGGACCTTTTCTAAGACTGTATGGTTAACCTTGGTTTCCATTCACAGCATAGAACGAAACTGAGGGTTACGGTTATGCTTCTCATAAATATGTTCCCAGGGGCAGAAGATGTTCTGTTTTATATTAGAAATAGAAAAAACCTCTTGACTTCTCATTAGCCCCTTAAAAATATTGCGGTGATGTCCATGGTATTAAAAATGTAGGGACTTCCCTGGTGGCGCAGTGGTTAAGAATCCGCCTGCCAAGGCAGGGGACACGGGTTCTAGCCCTGGTCCGGGAAGATCCCACATGCCGCAGAGCAACTAAGCCCGTGAGCCACAACTGATGAGCCCACGTGCCACAACTACTGAAGCCCACGCGCCTAGAGCCCGTGTTCCGCAACAAGAGAAGCCACCGCCGTGAGAAGCCCGCGCACCGCAATGAAGAGCAGCCCCCGCTCGCCTCAAGTAGAGAAAGCCTGCGCGCAGCAACGAAGACCCAACCCAGCCAAAAGTAAATAAATAAATTTATTCAAACAAAATGCAAACTTTTAAGAGATATTGTTTGTCGAGGAGCAGAGAGAGAGCAGTGGCTTAGCTTGCCTCTGGCCAGGACGGCTGGCGATTGATTGATTGAATTTTATTTTTTAATTATTCAAATCATGCATTAATTAAATGTTAAAATTCATATTCAGCATTGACTTCAGGGTACTTGAGTGTTTCAGATGGTTTTCTCTACCGGTGCAGAATGCAGTTAAACAGGGCACCTCTCTCCCGGGGTAGCTGGAAACAGAAGGAGACCTCACAGAGCTTCCTTCTTTCGTCAGTCTAGAATTCAGTTTTTTGTTTTTTTTTTTGCTGTATGCAGGCCTCTCGCTGCCGTGGCCTCTCCCGCCGCGGAGCACAGGCTCCGGACGCGCAGGCTCAGCGGCCATGGCTCACGGGCCCAGCCGCTCCGCGGCACGTGGGATCCTCCCGGACCGGGGCACGAACCCGCGTCCCCCGCATCAGCAGGCGGACTCTCAACCATTGCGCCACCCGGGAAACCCCGTGGTGAACTTGATATTGGTCTTTGGCTTACAGACAAGAGCAAGGATTTAAAAACCATTGTCTACCAGGGACCGTGCTGATGGAGATCATACTTAACAGAGAAGCGGTTATTCACACACAGGATGCATTCGAGCTGGCGTTAGTGCGGGTGTGGGAAGAAAGCAGGATTAAGGGCGTTCAGAGAAATGACGTGTGTGCAGTTCTGTGATAGTTTGAATTGCACAGACCCAGGGTCAGATGCGATATCAGTGGCCTCTGCAGCGGGGTGTCAGACGAGCAATTCTCTGGTCCTTGCCTTACGGTGTCGTTGCCATAGCAGCCGACATCCCCGATGCCGAGATCGTCTGCCATCAGAAGGAGGATATTTGGACGGGACCCAGAGAGACTGCGGCAAGCTGAGGGCTTCCAATCCAGAAGCACGCTGACTGTCAGAGCCAGCCAGCTCCTGAAAAACAAGCTACCCAACAAGGCTTCATGCTGCTTTCCATCTTGTTTACATTACTCCTGTAAGTGGGAAGTTGGGTTCACTATTTTAGGGGACTTTGATATTATCATCCCCTTTCAGAAGAGTTTGAATACACCTCTTAGGCATCTGAATTTTTTCTCTCTCTTTCTTGCTTTTTTTTTTTTTTAAGTTAAAAACAACTCATCCTTTCATGGATGCCACCCTGGGCACGCAAATAAACAGCAGGACAATGGTGTTCCAATCCCCAGCAGCGTCATGAAATAAAGATGGAAATCTGAATCTGATGGAATCTGTGTCACGGGCTTCCTGGAGAACCAGACACCGGCCCCATGGCAAGGCTCGGTGCACAGCTGCATCGGAAAGAGTGAGATGGAAATCTTTCTGTAGCTGCCAGGGAGCACCTCCCAGGAAAGGGTGCATGGAACGTGTATATTAATCGTGAATCTGCAGGAGGGGAGTGATCAGTTACTAATTTAGAAAAATCAATTTACTATCAATGCATCTGAGAAAGCGACAAAAAGTAACACAGAGGCAGACCTAGAACATGAACGAGTGCCCATAATCCTGTCTTACCAAGAGTGTTCCAGATGTAACATGTCCTCTCTTTCCTTGTATTTCCTGTAAGAGATAAAGAGGTTTATATTAACACAGGCAGCAGAAAATGAACTAATGCAGGAAGTCAGATAGTAAGTCGTCTGTAACGAGAAGGGAAACTTGGATTCTCTCTGATGCTATCAATAACATCTTAACTACTAAAAACTCATCAAGGAATGAATGTTCTTCCCTACTCAGAAAGCTTTACAAATGCTGAACACTGTCTTTAGAACGTAGAACATGGCCTTTGTTAGCTCTAGCTTAGGTCAGAGTGTGATTGGTTTTGAGGCACTCTGTCAGAACAGAAAGGTATCTCCCTGCAGGCGAAAGTTCCCGAGGTGTTCTAGATCCAGGAGTGGCTGCCAGAAACCATGTTTGGTCCAGATGGATCTTAAATCCCATACATGGAGCAAGTAAGCAAAGCCATGTTTCCGCTGAAGGTTCTGGAATTCTGGGGCCTCACCAAGGTCGTGGTTCACGGCTCTTACTTGCACAAGCTCTGGACAAAGTGGATGTTCTGCTCCAGTGGAACGTGTTTCAGCTTGAGGAAGCCGTGAACGCCCTTGAGACAGGCCCTTGGGTGAAACGGAACCAATGTGCAAATAACGTATCTGGGAGCAGAATATAGGAGGTAGGCTGTGGGTAGAGCTGAAGTGGCTCCGTCCTGGTTGGAATTCTGCTCCAGCCTGACGAGGAAAAACCAGCTGGTTTGGGGTGTCTGCCTTTGCGTTTGAGTCCTGATGTGACTTAAAAAAAAAAAAAAAAGAATGTGGGGACTTCCCTGGTGGTCCAATGGTTTGGACTGCACACTTTAACTGCCAGGGCCGGGGTTCAATCCCTGGTCGGGGAGCTAAGGTCCTGCAAGCCTCAAGGTGCGGCCAAAAAAAAAAAAAGAATGCACAACATGTGTTTATCAAGAGCTGATGGCAAATATTTGGGGCTTTTCTGCCCAGATGGTCTTGTTGCTACTATTTGTCTCTGCCGTCATAGCACGGAAATGGCCACGGACAACACAGCTGACGGGCCCTTGTTGTCCTCCAATTTCCAAAAACAGGCAGAGTTTGCCAAACGGACCAGAGAATCCTGAGTCCCGATATAGAAGGCAGGAGTATAAAGGAAAAGGCAACATTAAGTGATAAAATATTGATATGAAATGATCTCCAATTCATATTTTAAAAATTTTTTGATTGTGGTAAACACACATAACAAAATTTCCCATCTTAACCTTTTTTTTTTTTTTTTTAACTTTGCCAAAGATAGAACTGGTACTTAGCTTGTCCTGGCCCCTTCTTTGATAGACAGTGATAGACGCGCAGGCTCAGCAGCCACGGCTCACGGGCCCAGCCGCTCCGCGGCACGTGGGATCTTCCCAGACTGGGGCGCGAACCCGCGTCCCCTGCATCGGCAGGCGGACTCCCAACCACTGCACCACCAGGGAAGCCCTATCCGATATATTTTAAATGAAAAAACAAAAAAGAGTCAAGAGAGAGTGTGTGGTACATGCTGCTGTCCCTACAAAACAATCATAGGGAAGAGGAAGAACACGTATATTTGCTTGTCTACAAAGTCATTTGGTGACAACAGCTGCTTTCTGCAGATAACTGGCAATCCTGTCCCTTGATGCATGAGAATCAGACCTTGGGATAACTTTCTAGCTCTGTTTCCCTGGCAACCCAATAAAGGTAGAATGTCAATGGATGACTGGGCAACATTATGTGTAGTAAAAATGTTGGTCCCTGGCAGCCTGTTTGTGGCCATGAGGAACCGTGAAGACATGAGGGAAGCCAACCTGGGGCTCCTGAGGGTCAGTGGCCCTTGACCTGGCATGGCTTTTGCAGTGACCCAGAAGCTCTGCTCATGAGCTGTTTGAAGAGAAGTTGGCTCGTGTGGTGGGCGAGCTTCCGAGCTGGGGGCATCCAGCTTTTCAGAGCTACACCCTCTCCATCTAAGCTGTCCCCTGGGAAGGTGCAGACTAGCTGCTGGCTGGCTGTGTGTGCAGAGGCGTGGACCACTGTACGCAGGGCCTTCTCCAAGGAGAAATGCCTCAGTGTGCTTGCACCCTCCTCCTTTTGAGCTAGCCTGATGTTTCCGGGTGCGTCATGTTCTCTGGACATTAGCCCTTGCCCACAAGACAGAGGTGGTTCCTTCCAAGCTCCCTTGCAATTCAGGTGGTTTCTCACACCTCCCCAAGCTGCACCCTCCTCAGCACAAGGACAGGGCAGTGCACCTGTGGTCAGCCGGATGACCATTGCACACAACTGGGACAGGGCTTGGGCAGCGAGAAACCCCGCGGACAGGTTTCTTTGGATGGCTCTCTGTGGTCACTGCCTCTGTAGCGGGGAAGCTTTCAGTTGGGATAAAGGCTGAGGGTTCCCATCACTCCTGGTGAGACGTACCGTGACTGTGCAAGGTCCAGAACCGAGGCACAGGCTGTTTATTTACCTTATTCCTTTCAAAGAAGGATTTTAGTGAGGTGTGAGCTACCTGGCTTGGTGCCTCTTTTTCGCTTCTGGTAGCTGGTGTACAGGTGGGTGACCTGTTGCCTGGTGATTGCGTCTGTTTGCTTTCTGTATCATCCAAAGCACAGAGTTAGCTTTAGGGTTCTTTCTTGGTGTTATACATCCCATGGGTGGACAAGGTACAATGCCATGTACCCCCCGCCATTAGAGTATCATCTAGAGTAGTTTCACTGCCCCAAAAATCTTCTGCGCTTTGCCTGTTCACCCCTCTTCGCATCTTAACCCCTGGCAACCACTGATTCTTTTACTGCCTCTATAATCCTTTTACTGCCTCCATGATCCTTTTACTGCCTCCATAATTCTACCTTTTCCAGAATGTCATGGAGTTGGACTCATACAATATGTATGCTGTGGATGAAACTACTCCACTCTCTGATGGAAGGACAGAACACTGGGGACTTTGCCTACTAGACCTCTTTTAACATGTAGACAGTTTGGATGGAGTATCTCAAATTGAGCAGAGCGGGGGAGTTGGAAATGCTTTCTTTTCATACCATCGGCATTCGCCGTACCCTTTCGTTTGCTCCATTTTGCAATTTTTGGCTACAAATCTTTACCTCTCAGGAGGTCTATATGAACATTTTTATTTATATGTGTTTATATATGAAATAATATACATTTATGTATATGTATGTATAGATACATGTATACATAAAATATATAATACACAACAATCATATATAAAAATTTGAAAATATATAATATAGTATAAAGTAGATATGATTGTTTGCTTTACATTTATTTTAATCTTTTATTTTTTCCCCCCAGAAAAAGCATATTATGGGCTTCTGACTTTTCTGGGGAATGTGACTGGTTATATTTGTCCTACCGGTGGGTTAGAGTTGAGTGTATATATGCCGCTTGAGCATGGTGGAAATGTCATACGAGGTTTAGTTTTATCAAATCTTTGGTTTACCTCTTAAGTGATAGGCTCTCTAATATTTAGCTACACAGAAGGAGCATATATTCTTCTGTTCCAATGAACACAGCACCTTATCCCTTAGAACACTGCGTGCTTTTCTTCATCTTGGCTCCTGGCTACCAGAGAAAACTTTCCATAAGAAGGAGACAAAGAAAGAGCAGAAGGTAGGGTGGTGGTTGCAGGGGGTGGGGGTGGGGGTGGGAGAAATGGGAGGATGTTGAAGGATGCAAACTTGCAACATGTAGGTGAATACTTTCTGGAGAGCTGACCCACCCACAGTGATTACACTCAACACTGCTGTAATGTTAAGTGTCAAAGTTGCTAAGAGACTAGATCTCAATTGTTTTCAACACAAAAAAGCAATGGCAACTACGGGAGGTGATAGCAGTGTTAGCTAACGCTATTGTCGCAATCATATTGCAACATAGAAATGTTATCAAACTGACCCTTGGTACACAGCAAACTCTCACAATGTTATCTGCTAATTATATCTCAATAAGCACAAGGAAATCAACTGCATGCTTTGTGACGACCTAGAGGGGTGGGGTAGGGAAGGTGGGAGGGAGATGCAAGAGGGAGGGGATATGGGGACATATGCATGCTTATAGCTGATGCACTTTGTTATACAGCAGCAACTAACACAACAATGTAAAGCAATTATAAGCCGATAAAGATTTGAGGAAAAAAAAAAAAGAATACTTACCAAAAAAAAAAAAGTCAAATACTTTGACCATTTAAAAGAAAAAAGATACAGAAAAAGAGAAAGAATGTAGCCTTTGATGCTCTTCCAGGGGAGAAAGAATTACAATCCCTTGTTCCCCCACTGTCCGCCAGACCCCAGGCAGCATGTTTCATTTCTCCACGACATTTGAGCCCTGTTCCCAAACCCGCTTCAGTTTTTAATCTTAACATCTCTTCAACGTCCAATCCACATGCTCCAAAATCTCTTAGCATCTCGTGTAGTTACATTCACTCTCTGTCTGAACTTAATTCTGCATTCCTTGTAGAAATCACCCAAGGCAAAAATCTGACATGGATATCTTTGCTTTCCATTTTTAAGAAAGTTGCCTCTAAAATACGGCCAGATGCTGCAGTGTGCCCTGCAGCCACGCGTACTTAGGGAGGCTGCCAAGGGTCACTGGCTGGGCTGGAGCGGCCTCGCTAGCATCTCAAGAAAAGCCGGTTACCTGAAGGGCTGTCTCTGGGCCAGGCCAGCTGCAGGTAAGCGAATGGCTGCTTCTCCGGGGGGACCAGTCTTCTGTGTCCTTTTGCCAGGAGACACGATCTCAGCTCTGAGTCAAGGACCTCTCTCCGGTCCACGCATGTGCCAGCTGATTCACTCTTCAAAGCAACAAGGATCTTACGAAAACCAAGTTAGGTTGTCCAGAGAAGGGGCCGGGAGGTCCCTGGCATCTGTTGTCTGCGCTTTTCGGGTTTCTACAGAAGACCTTCTGTTCTCATTTACAAACTGTAACACTTGCAGAGGGATCTCTGACAACTCTTGCTGGAAACAGGGAGTCTTTCATTCACAAGTAGGTTGAATCCCGCCTGGCCTTTGGTC